TGAGAGATCACCCATCATCTCTTTATCCACAGACCTTCCAAAGAATCTGGTCTTCTGAATAATTTATTTCTGTTTACCCCGAGTTATATTTATTTCAGCTATATATTTATAGTCGTTTATGGCTGATATGGGGAGGTTCCTGCCGCAGTCAGATGAGGCATCCTTGGATCTGTTGGTTGCCATGGTAGTTCAACCACATTAAGTCAGCTGTAGCAAACCAGGTGCAGCAGAGGAATGCTGACACATACGTGAGTGGGAGCAGATGATGGACATCTGCATTAAAACAACTCTCTTGCCCCAGGGAACTTAGAGCTTGCCGGTGCCATTTCCTAAAACCAAGCTCTCTGCGGATATCAGCTCATCGTGTTTCTTTTCTTTGAGGCACTCTTGATTAAACATTTCAAAAATAAACACAAAGTCATTTTCTCTGGACATAAATATATTAGGATTCTACGTTTTCTTGGCTTGGGTAGTTCTGTAAAATGAAATGTGTGGACCTTAATGATATATTATGCAAATCTAAGGAAATAAATCATGCCACAGTTTGCTTGTCATTTATTTCATAAATAAACTAACTTAATATATGAAGTGCCAGTATGCGTGTGAACAAGTAATCTATGCAGCACAATATATCATCTAGGAAATTACAAAGAACCCGAGAACACAACAATGGATAAAAATGGAGGAAGTTATGCCTCTTTAACAACATCAGTGTTCATCTTAAATTTGCCAACAGGTTGCAGGATGACCTTCCATGCTTCTGAAGAATGTTCTAAGCAGATGAGTAGACATGGAACTTCTTGCATTAGATAGTAAAAGGTAAAGGTTTCCCTGCTCAGTCGTGTCTGACTGTAGGACCCAGTAGTCGTCTCCGTTTTTTGGCTGAGGAAGCTTGCATTATCCAAATACATTTTCCGTGGTCATGTGGCCAGCATGGCTATATGCTAAAGGGCATGGAACACTGTTACCTTCCCACTGAAGTGCTACCTATTTATCTACTTGCATTTGCACACTTTTGAACTACTAGGTGAACAGGAACTAGAGCGAGGAACAGGAGTTCACCCTACCACCACCCCATTGCAGTGTTTGGGTCTCAAACTTGAGCTGTCAGCTTTCTGGCTGACAAGCTCAGCATCTTCAACCATTGAGCCATTGCGCCCCTCTGTATTAGATAGTATCCTTGCCCAAATCAAGCAATGCCTTCCACAAGTAAGAATATCATATTATTAAGCATGGAGGTGGCAGTGCCATGACTATGGAATATTTTGTGTAATATTAGGGAGAATATTAGGGAGTCTTCTGATTGCCAGCTGAACTGAAGCTCAAATAGGTCATTCAACAAGATAACAATTTTAGAAAGTCTAGAATGGGGAGAAAAAAACCAAATTTGATTTGGGTTTGCAAAGTCAATCCATATTTAATTCCCATAGAAGTGTCGTGTCAGAACCAGAAACAAGCAATTCATGCCAGATAAACACCCAAACATTACTGAATTGTAACTTGTTGCAGTTCTCCATGGAGGAATGGATCAGAATTCCTAAAAAAATAAAAGAATGATCACTAATGACAGGAAGTTTGTGGTTGTAATGATTCCAACTAAAAGTGGTGTCACCATTTCTGAATCAAAGAGAGTGATTATTTTACACCGACACATCTCATGCTACATGATTTTGTTCATGAAATAGATGAAACCAGCCTCAAATATCTGTATTATTTATTAACCCAGACTGCTTTTATCTATCTGTAGGAGTTATATAGATAATAATCATGTTATCAACCAGAAAGGAAAGAATTTGGAAAATCTGACAGATTTTGAATACTTTTCCACAAAACTAATACCTATATTGCTTCTTGCTGACTGAATAAGATAGCTTCCAGTTAAACCATTTCTCAGAATGCCCTTTTTTAATCTGCAAAAGTGGAGGGAAAAAAAAACTTAATTTAATTGGTCTTTTTTCCAGAAGCAAAAGTTAGACAAATATCTATGATTCCTGAGCCTAAAGCATTACACTCATTCCAGGCCCACAATCTTCATTGAGTAATTTCATCTGCTGCCAAGATCTAGTTACTGTAATTATTTAAAACAATCAACTAAATTGACTTGAAAGGAATGACATGGCAAGAGACTTAAGAACAAACTAACTGAGGATATAAAATGACAAAAGAATGGGAAAGGTATGTTGTGTTATTATTAATGATAAACTCTCTCCAAGACAAGAATTTCTATTGAGTTCTCTGCAACCATTTTGAGATTTCTCTAAATGAAACATTTCTTACTTAAGCGTTTCTTCATAGTATCCAATAATTCATAGAACTATTTTAGGCCCTTTGGGGTATATTTTTTCTGATATTATGAAAAGGGGGCAAAAACAAGTGCTTGCTTAGTTGCAGAGAGGGAGGTAATTCTGAAAAATACCCCCTCATAGGTAAATACAAAATACACATACAAGTCTTTCTGATACTGATTTAGCCCCAAATCTTATATTTTTGTGTTGCCTCAAAACCACCACAGTGTTTTAGTTAAGCTTCAGCAAAAGCTATTTCTTTTCAAGTTCTTCAAAGTGCGACATTTTTAGCTTGTCCTATGATACTTTAGTTACAACATCCCAAAACAATGCATTCATACTGCTTTGGAAGTGGGTCATAGTGTTCTGTTAAGTTTGAAACACTTTGAATTAGAAGTTGTCGCCTTATTTTTGGAGCAAGGTGCAAGGGGAAGGAGAGTACAATTCTGTGCATCTCTACTCAGGAAACTCACTTTCAATGGAATTGACTTTTGAGGGACTGAGAAAGATTGCAGTTCAGATTCTTGCTTTCATAGCTCCTGAGGCTACAGATTTTCAGATCATCAGGGTTATCCTATCTTCCCCATTTACATTCCTAGAAAAACACTGGTGTCAGGGGGAGAGAGGTGAGTGCAAAGAGACAAAAACCAAGGCCAGCGATTTATGATGGCAGCACTTAGGTCATATATGAAGTAAAATAAAACTATGATTTAATAAAATAAAACTTCCAATCAAAACTAAAAGCAACTTTCTTAAATAGGAAGATTGAGTTTATTCTTGCATAACTCCTGAAGCATGGCTTTTGTTTTTGAGAGGGATGCTCTTGTTTTTCATTCCGCATTTACTATTTTTCAGTACTTGCTCTAAATGTAGTAGAATCTGGTTTGCAATGGTAGAATGGTAGAAGTGGAATCAATATGGATATAGACTTCTCAATTCCTTTTGCTCATTGATCCACAATTGGGGAGAGGTTGCATTGAAATTTTTATTTCCAAAGAATTGTCAAAAGAAACAAAAAAAATCCTTTGGTTCTACTGAGTTTACTAGCTATCAGCTTACCATTTATGCGTTGATGAATTTCACTAAATGTATACGTTTGCAGGCATTCCAAAGACTACTAATTTACTACTAAATGTCCTGTTGTCAAGATACCCAAAAAATCCAGAAATATTTCCAAGGGAAATTGAAGTCAGGTATCAGCATCTGATAAATATTTTTCAGATATTCAGTAAGTCAGGTTATTGTACTTTCCAGAAATGAGACTTTACTCCATTTTAATTGTGTTAGAAACCCAATCCACAAAATACATTAAGTGAGCTTTAATCAGATCTCTATCATGAAGATTTTTGACATAAGTCAAGATTTCAGTAGATATATCTAAACATTTAATAAAATAGATACAAAAATCATTTCAAAACAATATTCTGTAACACAGATAGCTGAACTCATGCTATGGTTGGCAGTTCACAACATGTTTATGCTTTTGCTAAAACAAGAAGGCAATACAAAACTATTTTATAAGTTTGAGGTTGACAATCATACTAGAGACAACTTTTAAAAAAGAAAATATTTCAATTCCCTTCTCTTCTCTACCAAGTTGTTCACCCCCAGTTGCAACTCCCAGTTGGAGACTCCCTTAACCTCGAAGTACTGATTTCTGAGGATTTGATGAATTTATCTTCCTCTCCCAAATATCTTTTTTTGCAGTCATGACACATAACAGCATTGAGACTTTTACCTAATACTGGAAGAGTCCAGTTATTCTGCATAAAGCAGCAAATTATGTTCAATTTACTGTCAACAAGCTTTCTATGGAACGAGAAGGAGGGGCCATGTTTGATGCCTGCATGCTAAAATATTAGAAAAGATCAGCTGTTTTTCTCATGTCCTGGTCATTGCTCCCTTGACACAACATCTCTTGCAGTATCTCCACTTCCCAGCCTTCCCCTATCTCAGCAAACAGTTGAAAGAGCACAGTGCAGAAAGAAATTGCTTCACCCAACAGCTGATGCCGTGAACATTGATGACTAAGCAACACTCTTTCTACATTCCAAGGAACTCAACCCCACATTCTTGATCCCGTTGGAATGTTGTTACTCATCCTAGGCTTAATTGTATCTGAATGATAACTGTTGCCTTGTTTGGGAATCTCAAGGACCTAGGTCTTTGCAAAAGTTCTTCTTATCCTAGGGCTGCCAGTCCTTTGCACGTCATCATTTGAGTTATGTATGTTAAGAAGATCACGAGTATATGTTGGGTCTAGAGTTTTAGCAGCATAATTTTAGGTGGATTTACTTAGAAGGAAGTCCCACTGAAATCAGTGGAATCTAATCCCAGATAAACACATTGAGAATTGCAAGCATTAAAGTTTCAGATTAGAACAAGGACTCAGATTAGAACAAAGATTTGTCAAGGACTAGAACAATCAGTATTTATAACTTGTAAATACAATTGGGGAGTAAGAAGGGATGTGCCAATCTACAACTAAATTCTGATACCCTCTTTTTAAAAGTGATGGGAATATTTGGTTCATCCTGCCTCATTTACCTAAATCTCTCTTCTTCATAATCACTTATGAAAGTTGCCAGTTTGTTTTGGTGACACATCTTAAGGCATAGTGCAGCATCTTTGAATGTGCATGTTTGAGGTTTCCAATGTAGTCAAGGCATGTTCTCTTGACTTGCCTAAATTAATTTCTACTTCTTTTCTTTCTAGGTCAGTTTTCCAGATGTCGAGAAAGCTGAATGGCTCAATAAGGTGAGAAGCAATTGTAGCTCAGTTGTTCCTTCCCTGGTGAGCCATGGTTGTATGAAAATACTTACATGACTGATTTTTGCTCTGTGTCAGATTCTGGCCCAGGCTTGGCCCTTCTTTGGCCAATATATGGAGAAGCTTTTGGTGGAAAATATTGCCCCAAGTATACGCGCTTCCAACACCCATTTGCAGACCTTCACCTTCAGCAAGATTGACATGGGAGAAAAGGTAATTAATGGTCGGCAGAATAATTGATCAAAACATTGGGTGGAAAGTGAGGCATTATAATTGCTGTGCCCTGACTGTGTCTTGTCTGTTTCCCGTTGTCAAGAGTAGTAGACATATCTGCAGAACATTGGAAAAATGAGGAAACCCCTGCAGAAGAAAATATAATCAGAAAAATATTAGACTGTGTGGAAATGGATAGGTTAACATTAAAGATAAAGGACAAAGAAGATACAGAATACTTTTTAATTTGGGATTTATTTTATCATTGGTTAGATAATAAAGGTAGAAATTAGAAATTGGAAGAATATCATAAGTAAAGAATGTTATTACTGTTATCACTATATATTTGTAAATTGACTCAGACAATACACTGCTTATTAAGCACTTATATATGTTAAAGAAAAATATATAAATAAAAACTAAAAGAGTAGTAGACATATCATATTAGATTCTTTTTAAGCTGTGTCAGCATCTATCAGCTAAAAATAAACTTTTTGGCATGTGCCAGCAGATTCTATCCCACCTTTCCAATAGTTGCATTCATAAGATATAATAAAACAACAATGTATAAAATAGGAGAATATTATTCTGAAAAATAGTACAAACTGAATTTAAAGATGCAGAGGTATTTCAAAGGTAGAGAACTTTGTTGGAGGGCTGTGGGCCACACTTAGCTTTTGAGCGGTAGGTTGGGAACTGGTCTCCAGAAAGTAGTAAGAGTTACTCCAAAGAGAGATACACCAATAAAGCCTTTTGAGTTCAATACAAAAAGCAATGAATTGGTTGCCTCCCTACACACTGAAGCATTGCAGGGGCAGGGGCAGTGAAGACTCATATTTCTAGATCCATGTTCATTTATTTAGAAGAAATGCTGCTTTTGTTTCTAGCCCCTCAAAGTTATTGGAGTCAAAGTCCACACAGGCATGAACAAGAAGCAAATCTTGCTGGACTTAAACATTAGGTGAGTTGTGAGACTTGCTTTTGCTACTAGCTGTCAACTTTTGTTATTGGAGTGGAAAGAGAAAAATGATTGTCTTATTATGGAATGAATGGCAAATCATGATGATTAACTATATTTTGGCAGCTGGGCACACAGCACCCTCCTTCCTTGAATAAAAACACACCTTAACAGCACATTTTGTCCTGATAGAGAAAAATGAACAGCACTGCGGAGGGAAAAATTAACTCCCAGTTCTGGGACAACGCCCTTCTAGCCTATTCTCTTTCTTCCATTAAGGACAAGCTGACTTGTAGGCCCGGTCTTTTGTCGTATCTTTCTTGTTTGTTTGATTGCTGTGAGCTGCCCAGAATCATTGAAAGTCAGCTGGCATACAAGTTTAATAAATTATTATGGTTGGTTGCAGAGTCAACCAGCTCTGTAGTCTGGATTTGGTATTTTTATCCACCTATTAAGTTCTTTCCAAGGACCTGGAATAGGCAGGTATTGTTTGATGTTTTTAAAGGTGTCATTATTACCATTGCTGTTGTTGTTCTTACTATTATTATTATTTAATCTTCCATTCGATTCACAATCTGGGACTGGTAAAAGCGTAACCGTTCAGGTCCTAACCATGGACCTAAGAGCTGTTAAGGTTTTGTTGTTGTTATTATTATTGTTATTATTAACAACAACAGATAGTACTATTTCTCTGTGCAACAATTGTATTCCCTTTTGCTACTGATCATGCTGGATATCTATACAGGTAGTCCTAGCTGAATGAGTAATTGGGACCAGCAATTCCATTGCCCAGCCACGTGGTCAAAAGTGCTACATCAGAAGACCGTGCCAACTTAATGACAACAGTGGTAGCAGTCTCCATTGCTGTGGTTAGACAAATCCCACACAGTCACATTGTCCCTCAGGCATGTGATTACCATTTGTGACCTCCTGCTGGCTTTCCAATAGATTTTGCTTGTGGGAACCTGGCAGTGAAGGTTGCAAATTGAGATCGTGTGAGCACAGGAGGCTATGGTATTGTAATTGCAGGTTGGTTGCCAAGCACCAAAATCACAATTGTGTGATTACAATGGCTACAAATACAAGGTACCATCGTAGCGTTGCCCCCACTCATTCAACACCATCCTAACTTCATAGTATAGTATGCAAACTATGTTCAGGTGGTAGTTATTGGGGGGGTGGGGATAAAAGTAGGAAAGCACTGATAGCAGCAGCCTCTGAAAAAAAAGCTGCTCAGGTGGACAGAGTTGAAGGAGATACCATTCTCTAGAGCAGTGGTTTTCAAACATTTTGGCTCCAGCAACCCATTTACATTCTAAAAATTATTGGAGGACCACAAAGAGCTTTGGGTATGAGGGTTATATCTATCAATTTTAGAAATCAGAATTGAGAATTTTAAACTATTTTTAGTTGACTTCTCAAACCCCCTGAAAGGACCCTCCAGACATCATTAGGCCACACTTTAAGAATCACAGCTCTTGCTCTTTTGGAGCCTTGCTCCTTTGGTTCCCATATTGCTATTTTTCTTGATCTTTTCCTTCTGTGACAGCTACGTGGGTGATGTCCAGATTGACGTGGAAGTAAAGAAGTTTTTCTGCAAGGCAGGAGTGAAAGGCATGCAGGTAAAGTAGACTAGGACTGAGATCTAAATCCTGGTCAAAATTAGCCTTTCCCCCAGGGAATTAGGAAAGATTGAGCACCAGATTGAGAAAGGCAAATCTGCAAACTGTACAGTATCTTATTTCTGTTTTTTTTAAGATTAAAATAAATACCATTCCTTCTCCAAATTTGATGTTCGCTAGAGGTTGTATAAAACATCACTAATTCCTGCCCAGGCTGATCTTGGGTGGTAGATATCTCTGAATTAGTTCTCAGTGATGGCATGTATATTTCTGAAAATAGTTTCCTCTCAGAATTCTGCCATTTGCAGAATGATGCAGGAGGCTTTTTACTTTGGCAACACACTCTGTTATTACCAGCAATCCCACGTTGCCTTTCTTCCTCCCGGATTTTTTTTTTAAAAAAAACATCTCTGCCCATCTGGTGTCTTTTCACAAATCTTTGAAAGGCAGCCAACCAATTCTGGGCATTCCAGAAGGGATTCCTCAGCTGCGTTGAACTCAGTTTAGAACAGTGTTTCCCCACCTCAGCTACTTTTAAGGTATGTGAACTTCTGCCTCCAGAATTTCCCAGCCAATCCTGAGAGTTGAAGTCCACCCCTCTGAGATTGAGAAACAGTGATTTAGAGAGTGAGCGTAAAAGTGAAGCCAAATAATTTTGAGCACTGGGAGGCAAAAAGCACTGGTGATATTTCAGCAATGCCATTTGCTTCAGTTTCCCACCATTGTTGAAAGGAGGTTCAAAACTTGACCTACCCTGTGACATGGTGCCCTCTCCTGTGTGTGAAAGTGAACCGAGCCTTTGTTGATATGGAAGGACTATCATCCTATGCTTGCTCCAGAACCCAGGAATTGGGAATCTCATGCTTCTCATTTCCCCTATAGCTACATGGCATGTTGCGGGTCATTCTGGAACCCCTCATTGGAGACGTCCCAATCGTAGGAGCTCTTACCCTGTTTTTCATTCGTCGGCCAGTAAGTATTCTGGCATATTCCTGGTGTTTTCCAAAACTTCCAGCAAATTGTGGATGTTATTGTTTCACACCCATCTTCAAATTTTGACATTGGGCAGCTCACGCAGCTAAAGCAGACACAAAGACAATAAACAAAATACAAATTACAAACAACAAAAGATATAAAATTATTAAAAGCAATTAAAACCATCAAGCAACTTACAATCTGTACATCACACTCCATACAAGTATCTTGCAGATTCAACACATTGCTAGATCCCCAAACACAATGACAAGTACATATCTCCAGATCCTTCCACAAAGGCAGTTGCGTTGAGGCCAATCTAATCTCCATCTGATGATATTCCAAAAGGCACATCCTAACTAAAGAACAAAGAAAAAGAATAAACAAAATTATTTTTAAAAGGAAGCTCTAAACAAGAAACAAAAACATTCAGGTCATATATTCATGCATTACTAATCCTTATTAATGCGTTATCGATTCACCAGTTCTTGGTAACATCAATTTTGCAGTCCACTGTATAGTTGGAGCCATCTGTTTGTCTTTACAATGCTGAACAATATTGTTTAGTTGTAAGTAAAGTATAGCAAGTCTATTTTCTTTGTCCAAGTGTCAACTCCCTTATGATTGGAGTAAACTTCAAAAGAATATCGACATCTGAAAATGTTGACTCTCAAAGTTGAATTAATACAGAACATCTTTTCCCAAGTGAACAGTGTTACACTCTATAGAAACATACAATAAAATAAAGCATTAGTGTCATTGCATCTCCAAAACCTTTTACTGAGGCCTTTTCTATATAGAAGTAATTTCTGAAATACTATTTTGTGTTGAAAAACTCACGACCTGTTGGGTCATCCTTTTAGAGATATCCCCTTATCAAATTCCCTTAACGTCTTGAAAAATGATAGAATTTCGAATGCACTGCCTTCACTGGAAAAGTCGGGATACTTTCAGAGATGCATCTGCCTTGAAAATAACATCAGCATAGGAAATGTTTGATGACATTTGATATTATGTCATAAACTGTTTTATGACAATGTTTTTGTTATAAACTATTTTATAAAATTCACCAAATTTCAATTTCTTGGGAATCATGGGTCCCAGATTTTAGACACACTCTGTAGGTTATCTCATTTGACATAACTTGGGTTCAAAAATTGTTGTCCTATGATGCACTGTTTTGCTGAGTTAAAGGTTACAGGAATGAAAACTTTATATCCCAGTAGATACACACACACACACACACACACACACACACACACACACACACACACACACAAATAAAAAGTTTTAAAAATGTATTTAAGAAGCAAAATAAACAAAAAGGATTTTTAAAAACGTTATAAAAAGGAAGGGCATCCAGAGTGCCAAATGTGGTTCATATCTACGTGTCTCGGCGATAATGCCAATTTCTCCCCCCCCCCCCCCCCCCCCATCTTCCTACTTTGGTAAATTACCCATTTGACTGATAGTCATCTGTTACTGATTCCTCTGTTTGTCAGTACCCTACAAAAGTAAGTTTAACAAAGGACAGTGTATTTTGAGTATTAAAAATAATCTGATGCTTTTTTATGGACTCTTGACTGTACCCATTCAAATACCATTGATTCAAGTGTTGTGGGGTCAAGCAATGCTTGTGCATAAATAAAGCCATTTGTAGAAGCTGTAGGTTTACATGTGGTAGAGCTTCCTGAAAAAACAAATACTGGAAAGTTATGTGTATTTTATTAAATTCTATCATGAGAGAATCTCTCAAATAATCTGCCACAATATACAGCATTATGAAGAGATCTTTGCAATACCTTCAATTTCGATTATTTCATTGCTGTCAACTCTCTACAGTAGATTTACTACTAACTTCTACATTGCACATTTTTTTTCCAGGCTCTGGACATTAATTGGACAGGAATGACCAATCTATTGGACATCCCTGGACTGAGGTAAATTTATGATGGCCATAACTTGCTGAAAAGTTATGAGAATGGCAAGAAGGAAATGAACATAACTGTTCTGGAAAGATCTAGGGGTGTATCGGCCAAAACTGCTTGGGAAGGCATCTTTTGTGAACCCAGGTTGCAGCTGGTGTGGAGCTAAGTTTGTAAGAGGCAAGAGTAGCAAGGTAGGAAGATTTTACAGGCTGAAGGAAAAACTTAAAAAGGAAGAAAATTGAGTTTATTGAAGGGGAACATTCTGAAAGCAGAAGGCATTGAGAAATATTGGAGGAGCTTATGTTTGCATGAGGTAACTTGTTGAGAGAGCGTGATTAGCAGATTATTAAGAAATAGCATGACCAGCAGGATCTGTTTTCCTCAACAGCTCGCTGTCTGACACAATGATCATGGACTCCATTGCCTCTTTCTTGGTTCTCCCCAACCGCTTGCTCATCCCATTGATCCCTGATCTCCATGAAGCAGCTGAACTCCGTTGCCCAGTCCCCAGGGTAAGGCAAAATTACTGGTGAGATGAATGTTAGAGATGAATTACTGGTGAGATGAATGCTTGGTGAGTTAGAGTTGTAGAGATGATCTACTTCCTCCCTTCCAGGGCATTGTCCGTGTATATCTAATAGAAGCTAAGAACGTGCAGTCCAAGGATAAGTACATTAAAGGGATGATTGAGGGCAAGTCAGATCCATATGCCGTTGTGAGAGTTGGAACTCAGGTTTTCACCAGCAAAGTCATTGATGAAAACCTCAATCCCAAGTGGAATGAAATGTATGAGGTAATTATCTGCCAGATGAAGAGGTAATTTAAATATAAATGTTTAGGAATGCTACACGTCATTTCTAATCTCCCTTCTTACCTTAGCTTTTCCATTTTATGCAATGCAGCTATCATTGCTTTCCTTTCTCTGTTGGAAGTAGCATTCCTATGGCCTACACTAGGGGTCTGCAACCAGTGGTTCTGGAGCCACATGTGGCTCTTTTGGCTCTCTGCTGCGGCTCCCTGTCGGCTGATCCCACCACTGGCTGGCCCCTCCCCTCCCCATCACTCCTCATCTGGCCTGAGAAAGTAAGGGTGATGGCAGGGGATGGAGACTCACTCCATATTCCAGAGCAGGAGGTGACTGAGTGGAAGTGAGTGACGTTGAGTTGGCCACGCCCTCCCAGTCACACCAGTTGTTAAATTATTGGCTCCCGGTGTTTTCTTTTCTTTGGGAAATGGGTCCAAATGGCTCTTTGAGTGTTTAAGGTTGCAGACCCCTGGCCTACACAATTAGTGGTATCTGCTCTGACTGCCCGCCTCACTGTCCCTACAGTTCATTGTACACGAGGTGCCAGGGCAGGAACTGGAGGTGGAGCTGTTTGACAAAGACCCCGATCAGGATGACTTCTTAGGCAGGTGAGAAGCTGGGGCTTTTGGTTCCAAGTCAAGCAGGAAATTGAGACCTGGTTGAATGAGTGATGGTGGGCTGGAAACTGGAACTTCACTGCCGGAGATGATTGGGACAGTATTGGGAAAAAAAATAGAAATAATTAAAAATCCTGGCTAAAAATCGGCAGCTTCAACCCCAGCTCAAGAAGTTAAATATACGAGGTCTGCATAAATCTGACTGCATCTTGGATTATTCCTTAAAATCCTAGGATTGGTGGATATGCCTTTATCAGCATCTTCTTTCTTTTCTCAGGATGAAGCTGGACTTTGGGGAGGTGTTCAGGGCTCGTGTGTTAGAGGAGGTGAGCACTGAGGAGGGAAGATGGCTGATTCATACCTAGAACCAACCATAGAGTAGTTAAACCCAAACTGCAAGGGTGCGGTCAGGAATAGACAATCTTCAGCTAAATGAAAACAAGGGGGACCATAAAGGCTCTTGGGAGTGGGGCAGGGAATAGGATGGTAGAGAGATTTTAAAAGTGTCATAGAACCTTTGTATGTCTGTGTAACAACTTGCATACCTTACAAAAGCAAAAGGGTACAGTTTGAGGGTCCAGAACTATAAACAGCCACAAAACCCTCTTCTAATGTTGCTACCAATTTGTAATTTTAATAGGAGGAAACTCATAACTAAAGACGGGGTATATTCCAATTAACTGAATTGATTTCATTTAAAGCAAAATTAGCTTTTGTCTTTGCTCCATCTATAGAGTGTAACTGTACTACAACACCCAAGATCAGAATTTGGTTTTCAGCCCCACCCCTCAAAAAATTATGCACCCTGCATTATAGGAATAAATCTCTGTTGTTTAATATTAAGCGCTTTCCTATCCATAAAGAATTTCTAATTTCCTTTCTGCTTGCTTTCCTAACAGTGGTTCCCACTACAAGATGGGGGCCAGGCTCGTGTGCATTTACGTCTGGAATGGCATACACTCATGTCAGATGTTTCCAAGTTGGATCAGGTGAGTGCAAACATTTAGAGAAGCGATATACAGCTTAGGGGTGTCTCTAGAGGTGGCAGCATCTGAGTTGTTCCTCTTCATAAAAATAAGAAGAGTATGCCAAGCTATTGCTTACCCTGATGGACAAAGGACTCCAGAGTCTTGGTTTTTCCTATCTAATTACTTGAATTTCTTTTTACTTGGAGAAGCCAAAGATTGGTGAGTCTCAAAACTTTAAATTAGACTTTTAGAGGAAACTTTCTTAGAGAAATATACACATTATGAGAACTAGATAGGATTCTGGGTTAAATTTGGACCATGAGTTGTAAATTGACATATATTTTTATTATTTCCACAAGGCAAGCAGGGTTCTGTGGCTTGGAAGGCATGGGAAACTAACTAGGGGGTTGGGGGAATAATCTCTGAAGAATGCTTTGATATAAACTGATGTGAAGATAAGCGTAACTTTAGAAGAAAGTTTAAAATGAAAAATGGCTTGTAAACATTTTCTCTTGTTAAGATGATATTGAGAGCCACAATTGGGTCTCTCTGGTGAGTTGAGTGATATACTATAGGACAAGAGTGTCAAACTCACGGCCTGTGGCCCGAATGCATCATGCACTGGCCATGGCCACATCCAATTTAGCAAAGGGGGGAGAAAGTCACAATAAGTCATGTGATTATGTCATGACGACACAAGTTGGATACTCCTGCTATAGGATATACCGTGTCTCTCATATAATAAGGCCAGGTCTTATTTATTTTTTTTGAGCCCTGAAAAAATGGCTAGGCCATCTTTTCGGAGGTGACTTAATTTCCCCCCCATCTTCGGGCGGGCAGCGACGGCTTGGATGTTGACCTCGGTGTTGGTGGGGCACTTCGTATTGGGGTCAACGCAGGCAGCACCATATCCGGGTGTGCAACAAAAGTATTTCCTAATGGCAAGCCCCCCCACCATTCCCCCATTTCGCATGTTTTAATATAGGCCTTAATTTGGGGGGAGGGCTTAATTTCATTTCATGCCTATAAAACATGCTGGGACTTCCTATTGGGGGAGGCCGTATTGTTGGATAAACAGGGTAGATATGCTAGATGTTGTGTAAAAATTGCTACTTAATGCTGATTTATTTCTTATATGCTGTTTGAAGGTTCTTCAGTGGAACAAAACTATCTCCTCAAAGCCAGATCCTCCGTCAGCAGCCATCTTGGTGATATATTTAGACAGAGCACAAGACTTACCAGTGAGTAGTCACAAGATAGCATCTCCTTCACAATAGGTTCTTTTATTTCACCAAAAGTCACTTTTTAATATGAAATGGGGCAGAGCTTGGATGTGAGTTTGAAGTTGATAAGTTTGTCCTATCCCAAAATGGGAAACTCTGGGAATTGTAACAATTGGGAAAGCATGGGCAGAATGATGGGGCAAAGCAGCCACAAGCAAATGTCTTTTTTTAAAAAAGCCATTTATTTTACACATGAAATTCATACATTGCCTCCATCTTGTTGGACTCTAGATAGTTTGCAACTATTTATAATAAAAATATAATCATAATCATCCTGTTGTGACCAGAAGCTCTATTTTAATCACAGTGTTCTTCTTTCTGTGTACATGTTTTCTTTGTTTATATTATAACTGATACGTGGAAATCAGTAGTTCAGGTACATAAATACAAGAGATAAACTTGTAAAAGATGTTAAAGAGCTCGTTGCAATGCAACTTGCACAATGCAGCTTTGTACAGAAAATATTCTGCCATGTTGCCTAAGTTTGATCACCTTGAAAAATTTAAAGGCTGTTTCGCCTGTGCATCAGTTAGTGTAGGTAGACAAAATTAACTTCAGGGTTGATCAGCTTATTAAGGTATCCAAGATTGTGTTGAGTTGCTTCTTAAATTAAAATTCTATAAGTGAAAAATGTGGAGCTTTTTTCTTAGGTATGTTGATCTAAAATTCTGATAGACTATGTTTCTGAACACATATCCTACTTCCGGTAACTATATTCTTCATGACAACTTTTACCTCATCTCTAGTCTACTGCAGAAGCAGTTTACCTTCATCTTTAGCTGTTCTGGTTTTAAAGTTATATAAGACTTTCACATATCAAGCCTGATTTTTTTGCGTGCTCCTAATATAAGCCCTACCCAAAAAATAAGCCCTAGTTAAGCCAGGGAGCGTGGCCAGCAACTGCTGCCTCTAAATTGTTCAACAATACTATAAGATTCCTCCCAAGTCTTGTTTTAAGACTGGAGGAATCTACATGAAAGAAGCTGTGAGGAATGGCACATCACAGATTGGGCATCAAAAGTGTCTTTGCTGATACTAATCTTCCAAAAGCCCCAGTTTTGCCTGTAGTATGGAATGCTATGAGATACAGATCTAAAATCCCTAAAGTCTCTTAGATTAATCCATCAGAATAGAGTTGGAAGGGACCTTGGATGTCTTTAAGCAGGAGTCTAACCTACTTAAGCAGAAAACCCTATACCAGTGGTGGCTAACTTTTTCGGCTCCGGTGCCAAAAATTGTGCTCGCGTGCCTGCATACCAGCACCCAGAAGGCAATGCGTGCTGTCCCCCCACGCCCCCTGCACATGCACGCGTGATCTCACACTGTGTGTCTGCACGTACGCGTGCATCTCCCGCACCCTCCTGGTGCATGTGCACTAGATACCCAACAATCAGCTGTCGGGCGGCACTGTGCATACGCAGTGGGGCTCTTCCGGGTGACCTCTTGCATGCTGGCAGAAGTAGCTCTGTGTGCCACTTCTGGCATGCATATGCCATAGGTTCGCCAACACGGCCTTAGACCATTTCAGATAGGTGGCTACCCAGTCTTTTCTTAAAAACCTCCAGAAATGAAGCATTTATAATTTCTGGAGGCAAGCTGTTCCATGGGTTTATTGTCCTCACTGTTAAGAAGTTTCTCCTTAATTCCAGGTTGCTTCTCTCTTTGATTTGTTTCCAACCATTGTTTCTTGTCTTGCCCTCCAGGGCTTTGGAAAATAATTTGATCCCCTCTTCTCTGTAGCAGCCCCTCAAATACTGGAGTACTGCTATCATGTAACCCTTTGTTCCTTTTTTTCTCTGGACTGGCCATACCCAATTTCTGCAATTGTTCTTCATGTTTTTGTCTCCATACCCTTAATTATCTTAATTGGTCTTCTTTGCACATTTCCCAAAGCCTCAACATCTTTGTTGTTAATGTGATGACCAAAACTGGATGCAGTATTCCAGATGTGGTCTTACTAAGGGTTTATAAAGCGGTTACTAATACTTCACGTGAATTTTGTTTTTATGCCTGTTTATACAACCAAGAGTTGTATTTTAACATTTTTAGGCTTCTATTCCTCCCAGCTTAGTGCCATCTGCAAATTTGATGAGTTTCCCTTCTATTCCCTCATCAAAGTCATGTAAGATTCTCCACTATGTCCTTCCCAGATGAATACTATCATTTATCTCCTCTTATTTTACCCAGCTGAAAAAATCTAGTAAGGAGCCTAATCCTATGGTTCAGCTATCAATTCAGGATGTCACAAGGGAGAGCCGGGTAAGAATGTTTATTTTTTTTTTCTAATTGCCTTCCATTTGTAGCCATTTGGTGTACTGCACGTGGAAATACTGGTAGCACATTGTGGATTTATAAGGTGAGAGGCTTCTTGTCCCATTTCTTCCAAATTGTAACATCCCATCAAAACGGCGCATAGGTGGAAAGGCTGGTTGTGACTTTTATCACCCATTCGGGTATCCAAATTCAGAACGGTAGCAGCTTGCTTGGAGGGCTTTAGACAAGTTTGAATTTTAGCAATGAGATTTGGGTGCCAGGTTGCTCACTCCTCTGCTTCAGGTTGTGACAGCAAAGCAAGCCAAAGAGGATGAATGAGAGCTTAGAAACTAAATTTTGTGAACATTGAAAGAACTGGCAGTATTTGGCTTTGAGAAGAGTGAGGAAGGAAGGATATGATAATGCTATTCAAAGGCCGGAAATTATGTCATGCAGAATAAGATCAAGACCTTTTCTTAAATTGTAGAATGCAGGACATCATACAAGAGTCTGAATTACATAAGATGCCAGTTGAATATTAGAAAAAAAATGCTGTTTGCCAGAAGATCTACCTTAATTCCCCAGAGAAGTCTGTCCTATCAGTCAAAACAATGCTGTTTCTAACTATGCCTACAGAGGGCAGTAATACTCCACTGTCATTTTTCACCAAGTGCTACATTGTAATTTTCTTTCTTTCTTTCTTTTTCCTTCCTTCCTTCCTTCCTTCCTTCCTTCCTTCCTTCCTTCCTTCCTTCCTTCCTTCCTTCTTTCTTTCTTTCTTTCTTTCTTTCTTTCTTTCTTTCTTTCTTTCTCCATCCCTTCCTCCCTCCCTCTCTCCTTCCTTCCTTCCTTCCTTTGCCCTGCTAGGTTGTCTATAACACTGTCTCCCCTGTCTGGGATGATGCCTTCCGCTTTTTCCTGCAAGACCCGAATGTTGAGGACATTGATATACAGGTAAGGTTCCTATTCTCTTTTCAAACCCATCCAGTCACTTTCAGCACAAACAGCAGCTGCAGACATTCTTCTTTTTGACCCCATAGGTCAAGGATGACAACCGTCAGACCACTCTGGGCTCCATCACAATCCACTTGTCCCGCCTTTTAAGTGCTGATAATCTGACCCTGGACCAGTGGTTCCAGCTGGAAAATTCTGGACCCAACAGCCGTATCTACATGAAACTCATTATGCGGGTAAAGAAAGCAGATGAAATTACCTTTCTCCTTGTGTAGTAAGAACAGTTTTGTTTTGGGGGGAAGATAGGGGAAATTGTGGCAATTCTTTGGAGAATCTCATCCTTCTGGTAGCACAGGAATCTTTCCCAATCACAGCTGCTTTGAAGAAAAGAAAGAAGTTTGGGGAAGTTCTGTCATAAAGTTCTTGCATAATAATTTTTGTGGCCTTATACTCTTAAGTATAAAGGGGGATCCATGCCTTGTACTGCTAGTTAAGCTTAAATACAGGTAGTCCTTGACTTAAACAGTTCATTTAGTGACTGATCGAAGTTACAACAGCGCTAAAAAAAGTGACTTATGGCCATTTTTCACGCTTATGACCATTGCAGCATCCCCATGGCCAAGTGATTTACATTCTCGACAACGGACTCACATTTATGATGGTTGCAGTGTCTTGGAGTCACTTGATCCCCTTTTCCGACCGTCTGACAAGCAATGTCAATGGGGAAACCAGATTCTAACCCTGTTACTAATTTGACAAATGTAGTGATTCACTTAACACCTGAGGCAAGAAAGGTCATAAAATGGGGCAAAATTCACTTAACAAATTTCTCACTTAGCACCATAAATTTTGGGCTCAATTGTTGTAAGTTAAGAACGACCTATACTGCATTCCACAGGAATGGGCAATATAGCTAGCTATATAAGCAACCCCAGTGTTATGATTCAACGTCTGATCTGACTTGATGTTTTGGTCCAACACCATCAATGACAAGTCCAAGGTTGGGCCTGGTAAGAAATGGAGTCATTTACACAAATCTGGAAGCCAGAGGCTAAATAAGATCTATTGATAGATTTATAACATTAGTTCTACAGATCAGACTTTGGTGATAAAGAGTTGGATACAAGGTCCTTAGGATTTCTCAGATGTTTAGCAGATTTGTCACTTTAGTCATGAGCTAGAATCCTGCATTGAAGATCTTTGAATACCTCTTACGTATGTCTGGAAACAAACTCCTATTTGTCTTAGTCCAGGTTTGTCTGGCTCCATGGTTCACTCGGCTGTGAGAGGCAAGAATGTCTCTTCGCTAAAGGTTTTCAAGCAAAGCCTGGAACTGCATTTTTCAGAACTATTTGTATTTATTTCTAATATGCATTGCTATACTATTCAGTGGCTTGGATTTGATTGTTAAAATGACTTCTTCTCATTCTATAATTTGATGTGCCCAAGTTTGGAATAGGAAGCTATGGCTAATGAGAGACAGATACTGCTACCTCATTATTGTGGTTGAGGGCCAGCAGTTCCTCGGCTTCTCTTTGCCTGGGTGCGTATCCTGATATTTTCATGGCATATAATTTCTTCAGGTATTATATCTGGATACCCCTGAAGTCTGTTTCAATACCAGACCACGCCCCCCAGGAAATCTGAATGTCACAGAGAGTCCCCATCTTGGTAGCAGTGTCGATATGCCTTCTCGTCCCACCAAGGCCAGTCCAGATGCTACTTTTGGCACTGAGGTAAGATAAGACTACACGTTCTCCCCACCCAACCTTAATAGTCAGTCATGCCTTTTGGTAAGAGTGGGGACTTTCTAAGTGGTCCCCAATCTTTTTGGCACCAGGGACTGGTTTTGTGGAAGACAGTTTTTTCCATGGACCGGGCAGGGGAGGTTGGTTTCACTCACTCACCCACCGCTCACCTCCCAACTGTGCGGCCTGGTTCCTAAGAGGCCACGGATCAGTAACGGTTCATGGCCTGGAGGTTGGGGATCCCTGTGTTCTAAGCTGTCACTTCAAACTCAGAGGAAGACCAGATTTGGCATTCTTTATGGATATTAATGGTCTAAACATATGTAACTTGGCGATGAAAATCAGACAGACATTGAAGAACAAGCAAATCTTCAACCTGTCTAAATGACATTTCATCTCACTTTTTAAAAAGGAGAGCATGAAATTCCCTCCTTAAGTCTTGCTATTTTTACAGAAAATGTGGACAAAGCTTTAATCATCGTAAGTTCAATTATGCTATTTATGTTGTGACCCTCTCAAAGCCTCTTCTTAACTGATCCCAAAATAACCTAACCCCAGCTGCCATGAAAACATAAATAGTTCTGCTTCTAGTAAAAATAAGGACATAAACTTTTTGTAGTCATTTGGCTGGCACTGTGTGATCCAGCTAAAAGTCTTCTAGTCTGGCTTCCTGTTTCGTATAGTGACCAGCCAGAACTCTCAAAGAAGCCCTGAAAATAACAGCTCTCCCCAACATGGCTGCTCTGTAAACTTGTGGGCTTCAGTTCCCAGAATTCCCTTGCCAGCTTGGTTATTGCTGAGAATCCTGGGGGTTGAAGTCCGCATACCTGGAACGGCTCAGTCACATATGCAGACTGGCTATCTGTCCCTGAATATGAAAGACAATGGAGAAAGTAACTGTGCTTTGCAGTTGTCTTTTGATAGTTATGGTAGCACAAATAAGCAGCCTTGTTTGTTTGTTTGTTTGTTTGTTTGTTTGTTTAACTGTGATATTAAATGAATAAATACTGTCTATCAAATTAAATTAATATTTAGATACATTAATATTTATTCACAATATGTGAATATGAGTATAAATGAAATTACTCTTAAGATTTATATATATCAATATTTATTTATAATAGGTATTAATGAAATTATTCTAATCAAAAGTCACTTAGACAGTCACCTCACTGTCTAAGTGACTGAGAAGCATGCTAGTAAAAATCCTGCTAAAAATCCATACAAAAATAAACAAAGTTTAAAAGGCAGAGAGAGTGTGTGGCCTCTAGCCACCATCCAGGTTGTGTCTCATTCTTAGATCCCCATGCTAATTGACAGGCACAAGTCTCAACTGTTTTTTGGAAAGTGAATTTATTAATCAAGACCTTTTTAAGAAAGGTGAAACAAATAAATAAAAGGAAACAATGTGCATAGTAGTAATTGTTTACTGCAATAGAACTTCAAAATCTGTTTGAAAGTAGATTTTTAGTTGTAGATTGGAAGTTTTTTGCTGGTCATCTGCAACAAGTAGTTTACTTGATATTTAATCCAGGATGCAGTCTGCAGCCTCAGAAGGCTAAAAAATCTGAAAGTTGTGTCGTGCCTAATACCATCCTTCTATGTTTTCCACATAACAAATAGTGATTTCAACCTATAATACATTTGTAATCAGAGAAACAGATTTGAGGGGTGGAGAAGAGGAGATAGACGGACGGGCTCAGTTCTCAAGCACTGTAATTCCAGTGGATGCAATCAGAGATTTACACCATCCTGATTGCAATGCTCCCATTACAGCTTGCTAGATGAAGACCTGGGGAAGCTGCATCTCTGATTATGTTCTGATAGTCTTGTTATTGCCTTTTATCACTGCTGCAGATTTTGCTTCATTACAATTGCTGTGATTTTTATTCCATTGTGTTTTACCATTCTGAAGTGGGAGAAGGGAGGAATACAGATCTTAATAAATAGAATAGCAATCATACATTTAAGAAATTATATCATAGATTGTGGACATGACATCAAAGTAAATCAGTCAAAGAAACCAATGGAATATAGATCAGAATGATTTTGATGGTAACATCTGCATAACAGAACTTTGCAGGTCTGAACTCTCATTATTGTATGAACTAGAGAGGCCTGTCTAAGTTGTTTACTCAAATCAATTCTCGAAATGGGCTCAAGCCATGCTCACTGGCTGTTCCCTTGGTAACAATTCTTCCTGTCCTTCAAAGCCATCCCTTCATCCTTTTTGCTGTTGACCAAATTCTGTCTGATTTTAGGAAAAGTAAACAATCTGGGCATTCAGAATCTTAATTGAGTCTTTCTTCCTTATTCCATTCTGCTTAAAGAATTGCTGTAGTTAAAACTGGGAAGATTTAAGAAATCCATGGAAACCAGACTAATAGATGTGGCGTGCAAACTGTGTCTGCTCTGAATTCCAGAGTGTAATTCGCATTCACGTGCTGGAAGCGGAGAACCTAATCGCCAAGGATAATTTCATGGGTGGGATGATTAAGGGCAAGTCAGACCCTTATGTCAAGGTGCGCTTAGGAGGCCAGAAGTTTCGCACCAGAGTCATCAAGGAAGATCTCAACCCTCGCTGGAGCGAGATCTATGAGGTGAGGATTCTCCCCATCTCCTTTCATGCATATATCAAAACTGTATCCTCCTCAGCCTCTTATTCCTCAAAGACTTGGATTTGATGGGGAAATACAATCATACTATTTTTTAAGACTATATATCTGTACTGTATCTGACCTTGTAACTGAGCTATCTGGGCAATAGAAAGTAGAGAAAACATTCTGACATTGAATATCGGTCAAGTCTGATTTCTGAAACATATCATGCCCGAAATACCTATCTCAGCAATCAAATATTAAGGGAGTCTGTATTTCTGGTTCAATGTTCATTGTATTTAGAACAAATCCAAACAGAACAAGGGGAAAAAATCAAATAATGGTTGGTTTAGGGATTGGTCTTGGAAATAAGCTGTATCATTCTCCCTGCATGACCTTGGTTTATTACCAAAACTTTAAAGAAATTATACTCATACGTAGCAAAATAGAAACCAGGGCCAATTCAGAAATCTCTTTTCACAACCAGCAAGATGAAAAAGGATCAGCCGTTGATGTATTTCATTGATGTTTTAATGTAGGGTTTGCTATTACCTCTTTTGAATTTTTTTAAAATTCCCAAATTCCCAGTTTATAATCTTTCAATTTCTTTTTTTTTTTAACAAATTTTATTCAGTTTTTCACATAAAAACAAAAATCTCTTTTTAGTGGACAACATATTTCCGTGTCATCACCTTTACATACAAATATGACGGCAATTATACATTCATATACGCATACTTAATTCTATTATTACCTTTTCCATTCCAAATTTTCAGTAAGGAGAGAAACAAACACGCTAATTCTGGCCTCTTTCATTAATCTCAATCGAAACATCTTTTTGTTTCATTTCAATTATTTCAAATATAATCCTTTAATATTTATTTTAAAAATAAAGATAAACAATATGTAATTTTGTGTAACAATATGTATAATGTGTAATAATAATAATAATAGGTTGCCAATGTCTCTCCTTGCTTTTAATAGTCTATATGACTTATTAATTTAGTTGGTTCTTTAGTCTGTCATATTCCCTTTCCATTACACATTCTTTTTATAAATACTAAATTAATACAAGTTTTAACACTAAAGAAAAAAAAACAAGTATAGGTTTCCCCCTTTTACTGCTTTGATTGTGTTAAAATATACCTTTATTCCCTCATCTTGATTCCCAATAAACCATTATTTTTAAGAAGTTACAATAATAATCATTACATCTTTTCATTTGGATTCCGCAGCATATTTCCCCTCCTTAATTTTTAATAAGAGTTATCAATATCTATATTACCCTATTTTCTAAATATTTTTAATTGCAGAAATATTCTTATTACCCCTTGTCACCCTGCAGAATCCCCTTTTTAATTCATCAACCATTTCTCTCAATTTCTTTCCAACATTTTACTATTTCTGTATTTCTTTATTTCTTTATTTCATGCGCCTTTTTCTTACTGCTTCTCCTCCCTCTCTTTTCTCCCTCTCTTTTCTCATTCCAGTTTATATCCCTCTCTTTCTTAATATCTTCCTTCCCCCTTTTCTGCTGGGTCTTTCTGTCTTTCCCGACTTAACAGGTATTCCCCCTTTTGATTACCTTCTTAAATCTCAACTTTTTAACTTTCCTTCTTTCCCCACTTCTTTGTAGCGTTCTTTGTGTTAATTGTCTATTTAAAATGTCTTCTCCTTGAATCGACGACTCCTTCTCTGAAGCTCTTTCCTCTTGTTCTTCAATCGCCATTTCCATTTTTTCTAACACAGAACAAAGTGATTTGCCTCTTTCCTGTAGTAATTCTCTCATATTTTTAAGTTCCATTTTTAATTCCCAAAGAGATATCATCATTACCCACTCTTGAATGTTATGATTGTTAAAGTCCACAAAAAAACCACTTTTACTTTCCTTTTTTCTTCTTTCAATTTTCTAAAGTTCTCAATTCTTCCAGCCCAGAGTCTATACCAAAAACATCAATCAATCCCACAGTCAGTCTTTCCTTGCTTTTTTGTTTATTCTGGTTCTGCTTTCACTTTCTAAGATTCTTATTTTGTTTCAATATTTCTTTAATATTATATCCACACAAGTTCATTCAAAAACAGGATGCTTTCCCTTCTTTGAGCTCAAGTTTTTGTCAAAAGGTGGCACTTTCCATTATACAAAGTCTTCACCTTTTTCCCCTATTTTTTATTTATTCTATTTTTATTTATTTTTTATAACAGCTTTTATAACAAAGTGATAGGTCATATAGCATAGATCATAGTTATAATCATTAATCATAAAATACAACAAAGTGATAAATCATAGATACCAAAAGAAGGTAGTAGGAAAGATGAGAAAATGGGATGAGAAAGGGATGTTTTTTGTTTTTTTTTTACCAGACAGATATGGTATGTCTAACCATTTAATTGACTAAATGAATGACTGAATCTCAACCCTTTCCAAAGAAGTAGGGCTAATTTCCAGAACAGGAGTTTCTACCTCCTAGCTTTTTCATTATTGGCTTAATACACTGAATCATTCCAGAGCTGGAATCAGAGGAAATCTTGGCTTTCACTCCTATTTCATTAAAGACTCCTACTTTGATCCCTGCTACTGTTTTGTGTTCTTCTGTACAACAGTCTACTTTTTCTTCCAGGTCATTGTGAGTAACATCCCAGGACAGGAAGTAGAGTTTGACTTGTACGATAAAGATGTCGACAAAGATGATTTCCTGGGGAGGTAAGTTTAGAGCCAGGAAAAATCGTTGGACCCCAAAAAAGAGGTCACTGCTCCCTCAATCTGAATAGGAAGCCAAAGAAGGCACTTAGATATCCCAGATTCTGCATGGAATAGAAGAGGGATCATTATATCTCCCTATTCCTTTCCTAAAGATTAAATCTCACAGCCAGATTTGTCTTTTTTTTTTGGGGGGGGGGGGGGGAGTTAGTCCTGAAGAGTTGGGTCTCTCACTGAGCTCCCGGTAAGGTTAATTTTGATAAGGAGAAAGTGGAAGGAAGGAAGGCCCTTCTTTAATGCTGTGACTCTTGTAACTTTCCCTTTCCCCCAGGTGCAAGATCCCCCTGAAGCGTGTGCTAAGCAGCAAGTTTTTGGATGAGGTAAAATTGCATTTGGAAGCAGATAAGGAGTTGGACTAGGACTGAGGAGACCCAGGTTCATGTCTACCCTTAGATTTGGGGCCACTTGCTGTACTTCAGGCCAATTTGCCTTGCAAGGATGTTTTTGTCTACATATAAAAGGAAGGAAGATTCCCATGGAAATCACCTTGAGGTCTTAAAGCAGGGGTGTCAAACTCAAAGCCCATGGGCTGGGGTGCTTAGATCGGGCCTGTAGGGCTGCCCTGGAAACAGTGAAGGGCCGGCCTGCAGTGCCTCTGCCAGTGAAAATGGAGCTTGCGTGGGGCCCTCCCAAAGCTCCATTTTGGGCTGTGACAGCTTCCTGCAACCTCTGCCAGCAAAAACGGAGTTAGGGAGGGCCGTGCCACCACAGGCACCCCCAACATGAGTGATGTAGAGCTGGCTACACCCACCCTGACCACGCCCACCCAGCCCCTGAAATCAAACACAACTCTGATGCATCCCTCAATGAGTTTGACACCCTTGTCTTAAAGGAAGTATATAAATCTGACCAAGAACTAAATAATAGGAAACGCTCTTAATGGCAGTGGGGAGGGAGGGTTGAGACATGCTGATCAGCCACCAAACAGTCTTACCTCCTTCCTGTTGCAGTGGCTCCCCCTAGAAGACGTGAAATCAGGACGCCTCCACGTGAAACTGGAGTGCCTGCCTCCTATACCCAGTGCCGCAGACCTGGAGCAGGTAATGGAGACTTTCAGGAACGAGAATGCCATGTAGGGTTGACTGGAATTGGGAGGTGGGGAAGAAAGTTCTTTGTTTTTAAAGAGGTAAAACTATTCAGACGCAATAACAACAGCAATGCCATTTCTACCATTTATGGTTTTTTCTTAGATTTTCTTATCTAGGAAAACAAATCAGCATGTTTTAAAAGTTTTTTGTTTATATTTTCTCTTCTTTGTTTGATGGGTTATGAAAAGCTTGGTGAAAACCAGAATCAAAGATGGTTTGTATCTGAACACCTTCACAGGGTGTCGACAAAACTGTCTTCTTCTTTGGCTTTGCCTGTTTTGCCATAACTGTGATCAAAGCCGGACCTGTTGCTCAGACAGCTGAGGGACGCTGAGCTGCAAGAGGGATTGAGGGTAACCCGCAGGCCCTAAACTCTGAAGTTGGGAGGAAGTGTTCTCATGGTCACCTCCCTGGCTTTGATGATGGTGAAGTCAGGCAATCATTTAGCAACTGATCATCACCTCAGTTTTTCCTGCGGGCAGCATGTTCTCTTGCATATGAAAAGGCCTATTTTTGTGACGAGCCATTGCGTGATGTGGGTTACCAAGGTGTTGTATAACAATTGTTGCTTTGAAAGAAACACATGGAAGCAATAAGCCCATCCCTTGATTTTCTTACAAAATGTCCTCTAATGGTGGGTGGTAAAATACTTAAATGTTGTCCTAACTGTTGATCACCTCTTCCAGGTTCTGAGAGTAAACAGCTTGATCCAGACCCCAAAGAGTGAAGAACTATCATCTGCTGTCCTCTCTGTCTTCCTTGACAGAGCAACTGAATTGCCAGTGGGTACCAGGAAAATGTTTCTCTTAGTTCTAGGAGTGGCTGTTGCAGCTAAAATAATCCAGGACCAGAAACTCAGCTGTTGATGTCATCTGAGCAACACTAGCAGAAACTAGTTTGGAACACTGTTTTTCAGAGACCAGGAAAACTTGAATTTGGAGCCCACTCAGCCATCGATTCAGAGCCCAGCTAATCCAGAGATTAGCCCTGTTCCAAACAGCAAAGACATCTAGTTTTTGGTAGCTGAACTGGAACATACTAGGAAGGATGAATGAAGTCTGTTCCTTTCCCCATTGGATCGATTTGTGGGGGTGGGGGGTTTCACTTGCTTTAATCTAGTCAATCTTGTGCCCTATGGTATACGGGTAGTCTTTGAGTTAAGACTGTAAATGAGCCTGGAATTACAGTCACAAGTTGTGCCAGTTGTTGAACAGGTACACTATGTGACTGTGCCTGATTTTATGAGCTTTAGTGTGACCTTATCTAAGCAAGCAGTTGATCCCCCAAAGCTAAACAGGTTCAGATCTGCTTAATGGTTACAGGAACTGGGCATGGCTAGTCTAGTGAAAAGAAGGACCAGGGGAAACATGATAGTGTTCCAATATTTGAGGGGCTGCCACAGAGAGGAAGGGGTCAAGCTATTTTCCAAAGCGCCTGTAGGCCAGACAAGGAATAATGGATGGAAACTGAACAAGGAGAGATTCAACCTGGAAACAAGGAGAAACTTTCTGACAGTGAGAACAATCAACCAATGGAACAGTTTGCCCTCAGAAGTTGTGGGAGCGCCATCACTTGAGACCTTCAAGAAGAGATTGGACTGCCATCTGTCAGAAATGGTGTAGCGTCTCCTGCTTAGGCGGGGGGTTGGACTAGATGACCTACAAGGTCCCTTCCAACTCTGATTATCTGTTAATCTGTTAAAACTGTTAGTCCTTGGATGGGAGACTGCCAGGAAATTCCTAGACTGGGAAGTTTTAGACCTCCTAGAAGAGGGTACTGGCAAGCCATTTCAAGCTGAAAACTGTATGGAAGTGTCCATGATTTCACTAGGAGTCTTTGTAATGGGGCATCCTGTGAATATCCTTAATAGCAGAATATCAATCACTTTCTCTTCCCATTTTTGCCAGCTCCGGAAGGGATCGAAGCCACCCAGTCCTTATGTCAGCCTGTCTGTCCGTGGTATCTCCTATAAGACGAAGGTAATGACAATGGGACGAAGGAAACAATAAATGCTGAAAGTGGGTAGTAAATCATGGCTTTAAGAATATACATCCAGGGTCTCCTTTGAGGTTTTTAGTGTAATGTTGATTTAACAGTGGTGGATTTAAAGCAGAAGCCAAGCAGCATGCATGTGCTTTTAGAGGTAACAAATAAGATGCTATTATTCAGCCTAGGAATTTATGATCACTTTCAGAAGCAGCCTGGTGTGTTCTTTCATTTTCATTTTTCGCCCACTCTTCCCTCATTTTTACTTCCAGCAACTAGTTCAGAGGAGGGGGACATATTGCAGTTAGCAGGCAATTGCTAATTTACTACTTTAATTAGGAAACTCTGAGTGATTTTCTGCCACTCTTTCCTTTGAGAGGACTAAGAAATATGGTGAGGTGAAGGCGGAATGCGGGGAAAGAGGAAGCTGCAATATGAGGGGGTTTGTGGCAAAGCCAGGGTTTGTGCATACGAACAGATGTGCAAACACACACACACACACACACACACACATTTTCCTATATAAAGATTTCCTATGTAACTTGGAGGAGAATGTTTTCTAGCGATAGAGCCACAGAAGATTGGATCTCTCTCTCTCAGCTTCCATATTAAATATGCAAAGCAATTGATTGTTGGTTACAAAATAAATAAAACAAGGGCTGACTCAAATTGGTTTTTTTTTATATATATATATGTATGTATGTATATGTATATATATAATTCAGCTTTGTTGAATTATATATTCTATTATATTGTATTTTCCCACGTCATTGTAGTTGTGCTTTTAAAGTTGTAGCAACGTTTCGGCAGAATGTCATCTGCCATCATCAGGCTTCTGTATTGTGTCCGTCTGTGAGTCAGGCCCCCACAGTTGTTTCAGTTTTAAATGACTCACAGACGGACACAATACAGAAGCCTGATGATGGCAGATGAGATTCTGCCGAAATGTTGCTACAACTTTAAAAGCACAACTACAATGACGTGGGAAAATACCCGAACAAAGCTGAATACCACTTACCACCAGGGAACGATTGCAGAGGGAGACTTTTTTAAAAAGAAATATTTGGAAACTCCCCTATGCGATTGATATTTTTTAATTAAGGACTGAGGGATTTTTATATAAACAGATTACTTAACCATGAAAGAAAAGTATTATATAAAAGAGAAAAACAGCTCTGTCTACCTCTTAAGGCAGACATATTCTGGAATATTGCCATGTTAGATCAGTCTTGATTATCTGTCCACGCTTCACTGAGGGCATATAACTGACTTCCTTTTCTTTTGATTGGATGTCCTATTCCGTGCAAGTTCTTAAGCCATCATGTAACAAATGCTGTCTTTCTCTTCTGTTGTATTTTTTAAATGTAAGGCTTGTTTCTGCCCCTTAGGTCTGCCCTCAGACAGCAGAGCCTGTGTGGGATGAAGCGTTCTCCTTCCTTATCAAGAGGCCCCACGCAGAATCTTTAGAGTTGCAGGTAGGTGTCCCGGGCACTTCTTCCTCACAAATACCCTCTTCTGCTTCGCCATCCACACGTGCCAGAACCAAAACAGTGGGACTCAGTTTACTGGATTATCCTACTGAAAAGAACTTTAATTTGATAGTGGGAATTGAAATTTCAAACATGGAAACCAAGTTTTTCAAGCAATATGATTGTGGCATTCCACCTGCCACAACAACAGGTGGAATATATTCTGAATATACTTCTATTATAGGTGGGAGAATTGGCAAGTGAGTTCTACTTCCTGGTAGCTTTAAGGACAATCAGAATATAACTTTTATCAGTGGCATGCCTCAAATTCTTAACATGTGGCCTGGCTACTATATTAACAAAATTTTTAAAAATATTTTTTTTCTGTGAAAAAAGGACACTAATGAAAGTAAACATTTTAGAGTGCAGAAACTGAATAGCTAAAGTTGAGCTAGCTAGTACATGTGGTTTATTTATAGGCATTTTGAATAAATGGAAAAAATGATATGCAGCCGTGCTATCCTTTATGGTCTTTGGGAAGGTTAGAGCGCATAATAGTTTAGATTTGCAGGGTTATTGCCACTTTAAGAAGCTGTCTATATAAAGGCGGCCATGAGAG